GGCGAATTTATCCCTGGCCGGCGCCCGTCGCGACACAACCGGCACCTGCTCTACATTTCTACGCGGCTCGCGATGAGTCCAGAACCGTCCAGACCGGGGGCGCCGGCAGATGATGCAATATCCGTCATAATACTGTGCATAGCTTTTAGCTTTGTGAAAATAGCCATCCATAAGCACTGGTTTTTATTACTTGGAAGAAAGTAAACATTTCGTTAAGATAAATGAAGCGAGGTTGGAGACTGATACATCTTTTTGTTCATCACAATATTCTAAATATAACAAACGTTTATTATGCCCGGTATAGATAAGATTAAGCCTAGGTCGGAAATAGCAAAGATATGGACGGAAACGCTGCCGCCGTCGTGTTGCAGATTTGTTTGCAACTGGTTCGACGACAGAACTCGGCTGTGGTGTAAGGTAAATACGTTACCAAATGATCATCAGGGATCTGAAGTACTGGTCACCGTTGCATTGTGACTGGTCGCGTTCTGAAGAGCATTTCAGCTCCAAAATGTGGTAACCCGGGTTTCCTTTGTCATTTTTTTACATTCTCGTATGTGATTTGCGTAAGGCATGCAGGGCTTGGAAAGTACTTCGCCATTTATTTATTTATTTATTTATTTATTTATTTATTTATTTATTTATTTATTTATTTATTTATTTTTCCAATTAATAAATGATTTAGAAACAAACGTATCAAAATATATAATTTGTGGTCTTGTGTTTTCCTGAATAACAAATTTTCTGAAGCACATTTAGTGTTGAATTAAAATGGTAATTACTAGGGGCGGGATTTAATGAAATGTCATTTTTTCTGTCCATTTTAGAACGATGCTTTTCTGTGTAGAAATTCATTTTATGTTATGACAAGAGGAAATGACTCATTTTTATGTCATTCTTTTTTTTTTTTTTTTTTTTGCATTTTTCTTCGATTTCGACGATTAAGTCAATTTTACTATTTCTTGTCCTTTTTAAAGCATTTTTCGCGAATTTCATCAATTTCAATATCATTTTAAAGGGACATACTTCAAATAATATTCACGGGACGCAACAAATATTCTTCACATAATTCCTCCGTAGCCTATTTGATTTCTTCGCTCAGAAATTGAAATGTCAGCCGTTGTGAGTCTGGAATCTAAGGGTCCTGCGCTGCCTTCAGCACCATTTCAGGTTCGGCAGATTTCCTGATCCATTCCAAATCCAAACGTTTGCGAGTTGAGTTCATTTGAACGAAAGGAACAAGCCCCGATTACTTGAGTAACTAATTCAACAGATTCAGTTTATCATTTGAACTAGTTGTAATAAAATATTTGACGCCATTTTTCTTTGCTTTTAGGACAATTTGAAAACATTTTAAGAGCGTTTTATTGATCATTTATGGAGATCTTTTACGTCATCAAAATATAACATATCAGGCAATGACATATGAATATATATATATATATATATATATATATATATATATATGTGTGTGTGTGTCATTAATCAATGAAACGTTTAGGAACAAACGTGTGAAAATAAAAGAATTGTGGTCTTATATTTTCTGAATAGCAAATTTACTGAAGCACATTTATTATTAAATCAAGACTAAGTGTGCTTCGGCAGCAATTAACGAAACGTCTAGGAACACGATTGTTCCTAAAGGTTTTATTAATTAATGCCATCTATGAAGTAACAAGCAGTGTCGTGATTTCATACGTCATTTCCTAAATATTAATAGATACCTCGTTTTGAAGAAAAAATGAATGATCACTTGATCACTTTACCTTCTTTGAACTAAAATTACTTCGTGCTTCCAAAACGAGTTTTCATCTCTAATGTTATTAACTTTTTATATTAATCCGATTCATGGCTTGATAGCTCACGTATCCTCTTGTTAACTTCTAATTTGTCTGTCATCTTACAAGCATAATTGCATTCATACTCGAATGCACGCACATACGCGCGCGCGCGCACGCACACACACACACAAATATATATATATATATATATATATATATATATATATATATATATATATACATCACATTATCACCTTATATATAATTTTGTTTGTTTCACCCTTACCTTTATTCTTGAACGGGTTACGCAAACTATTCATACTTTCTCTATGTTCCGCACTATCATTTGAAATGCACTAGTTCATTTTGTATTCTAACCCGATACCTTTAGAGATTAAAGTATCTGCTGTTTCCAAGTATAATCATTTTAAAATTAAAGATCAAAATAACTACTTTATGCAAAAAATTGTAAAATTTATACGATTTGCCGTTGTAGTAGATACACCTGAAGTAGAGGCAAAATGCAGGGGTTACAGGTATACCATATTTCAGGCTCAAGTGGTCCCAGAGAATGTGGATCATACCAACTTCACGAAAATCACCCACCTTTCCAATGATTTTGGTTTAGGGACTTTTCGTTGCACTAGTTATTATTTATTGAAGGTCCAGTTCAGAGGATTGAACTGGCAATAAAACTCACTATGTGTTGGCGAACATGCTGCAGTAACATTTATTTGTGGCCACAGTTGCCACCTTTTTCATTTGTGTTATTTTCTATCAAACATGTTCGAAACTGCACTCTTGAAAGCGTGGAAGCATATTAACAATTTTTATTCAATTGGGCATTGTGGTGTGATATTCTCATCACATTATTTGTTTTTGAATTTTGAAGTTAGATATTCGAAACAATAGTAAATACTTTAAGCGCACAAGAGTTGAAGCGTGTTAAAATTACGCATAAAAATCGTGTTAAATTTCTAATATTAAATGGTACATCAAGATACAATATTATTACTGTATTTGAAAATTCGAAAACTATTATAAAAGAGAAAGGATGATGAAGACGCATTCCGAACATACATGTGAAGAGGCATATTTATTCAAGATAAGATGGTTATGAAATGTAACAAAATCAAATATTTGCACTAAGGACGAGATTATTTGCATTACCATAAGCATGTATTTTGTATCTATTTTTGGTTAATATTTATAAATCCTGAATTTAAGTACATACGGTAATTGAACATATTTTAATTCTGATTGAATTTAATTCTTATCGATTGTGTAGTTGCATGTGAATAAATTACCATTACAAATGTATGTGAACTTTGAAAATGCAGTTTATATCGACTTCACAATATTCCTTCAGTAGTGTTAAGTCAGTTCTGAATCAGATAAGATTGATTATTTTGGGGAGAAAGCAATTTCAAGATTCATCTATGGAAAATCTCATGTAAGTAACATTGAATGTGCATGCATAGTTAGCAAAGAAGATACAATGAAACTTATACCTTTCTTTACAGGAAAAGAAATTTGGGAGAATATCACAGGCTTTACATAATTTTTTAAATATATACTTTACATATACTTTAAGCTTTATATATACTATAGGCTACACACTACTATACATACTTTTTTCAAGTATCCAAACCTACTTTGAACAGAATTCTCAAAGAAATTAATTTTGTTTGGAAAATCAGAGTTAAGTATATTGTTTGTAGGGGAAAACATGATGTAAATTGTCAAGAAGCACTATTTTTGTCAGCCTTATTATTATTATTATTATTATTATTATTATTATTATTATTATTATTATTATTATTATTATTAATAATATCAACAGTAAAAATTATAATAAAAATATTTGTCCATGAGAATTGTTTCAAACAATGTATGACAAGACACTTAGCTCTAGCAATTCATAGTCAATAAATCTTAATGTACTAGATTTACATTGCTTTGAACATGCAATTACTGATAACATTCATTGATACTTTCACACTCTCATGGAAATATATTTAGTATATTATATGTGAGACAGTGTTTACCATGTAAATATAAGTTATATATTACATTATATGTTATATTATGTAATATTATTATACAGTATTAATATAGTAATACACTATTATATGGTTATTATACACAGTTATAATGTTACATGTATAATTAAGTATAATGTGTTGTTATTTCTGTATACGAAATGTATAATTAAACATGTAATATTAATACAATAATATTTGCAAAAATTTTATAACAAGTCATTGCTTTGGCATTGCATTATATTACCATACACAGATAAAAGTCTTACCTGAAATAAAAGACACAATTTTGTCTCAGGTGAGCCATGTTCTTTGTTCTTATATATTTAAAATTTTATACCATTAGAGGTTTTATTTCAACCACAGTTCTTGTTTTTTCTTTGATAATATATTTAAAATTTCTATTGTATATTTTAATTTTTTGCTGTGTTTTTATTATTCCAAATTTTAAGCTGATTGCATTGCTGAACACCTGATGATATGACTAATTGGGTTGTGAAATGTGATTAGTACATTGACGCCAATTAAGTAATTGATTCCAGAATAATTATTCAAAATGTTTGATGTTTTTCACACATGGCTGACCAAAAATGGAGTGTATTTAGTTCACAATGATAACAACAACTTATTATTATTATTAAGTCTGACTACAGCAAAGTAGATCTAAAATGTAGGTATCATGAGTCAAATTAGATCAGTGCTGCTAACATTTTGTGTAAAATGTGAAAATTTTAAATTTAGATATCTATTGTCAGGATACACGGGAAATGCAGTATATTATTCTTTCATTTCAATTTTAATCTTTTGATATTCACCCTCATATATTCTATTAAAATGTTTTAATCTGTTATTGTATAAATTAATTTGTTTCAAGCATCAAAAGTAATTACCCACAGGTGTGTAGTTCATAAAATGGTGGAAGCTGAAGAGCATATTGTTTCAAGGCTTACTCCCTCTCATACCATGTTCCATCCAAATGAATGTGTGTGGTTTCTTCAGTAAGAATGCCCTTTCAAGATCTTGCCAGGGAATGGAAAAGGCCAGAAATTTTTGGAAGCAAGCTTTAGAGCAGGTATCTTAGTTATCTACTTTCATTGACACATTTACCACAAGGAAAATGAGGTTCAATGTCTTAAATTCAATAAAGTGTTATGAATACATTACTTACATTTTTAAGGTGTCAGCTACAAACAGGAAAAATGTAGTTGAGCATTCTCAAAAAATTATGGATGAATATAGAGAGAAAGATGGGGTAGATTGTGAAAACAATAAATTTATTATACATCTGAAGAGGGATATGAAGATTTCAAGAAAAAATGCCTCTATGTAATTATTGTCAAATAAATTTACTTAGTAAGAAAATGTATAAATAGTGTTTTAATTCTTCATCCTTAGTTTTCACTGTTGAATATCCAGATGAAATATATTACTGTAGGATTATGGAAATTATAAAAGTCAGAAAAATAAAAGTTAAGAAATATTCTGATATCAATTTTTGAACATTTTCCTTTCATTCATTCTATATCCTTATACATCCTTTACAATATTTTTAAAATTGTAATTTGTTAATTTATTTCTCCAATTTTTTCTAATTATAGTTTCATTTTATAATGAAGTAAAACATTAAACTTCTCATTTAATTTACAACTGTGTTCTTCTCATACATTTAATTAGTTTGTATAACATTTCGTTCATTATTATAGACAACATACATATTTGTTTATTTATTAAAAACAGAAAAAGAAATTAATTTTAAATGTTTTAATAAATAAACAAAGATTTATGCTGTCTATAATAATGATGGAAGCTTTATAGAAACTAATTGAACTTCTCATACTTCAGCATTATGAGTTTCAGGGGAAAATTATCAAAATAATTGGTCTAAATGATAACTATATCAAATTTCAAAACATTCTGTGGATCTAAATTAATGTTATAAAGAGATAAATTTTGACGTCACGAACTGCGTATATTGGAATGTAGCGCCAAAGCCTACCGTCATGTACATTTTCGATGTTGGCAGGACCGAATGTTCGCCGTATTGAGTATTATAGGGATCAAAGCAGGCTAAAAACCCTACAGGAATGGTTCCGTGGAATGACGGGGAGGGGGAGGGGAAATGATAGTTGAAGAGGGGATAAACGGAGGGAGGGCGTACAAGCAGGGCTAGAAAGAGCAAGGAGTGAGAGTGCGATCTTGAATGATTTAGTTGTGTTTATAGTGTTGGAAGGTAAGTGCAATAGGACTTTTGTGTCTATGTAGTTAGTGTCAATATGCCTGTGAGTTTCTCTAAATGTCAAATAGATTTCATTTCAAACGACGACTTAGAAATATTGAGGTCATAAAGAAATTTGGTAAACGTGTAATTATGCAACAACAGGTGAAACTTCAATTATACTTCTATAATTCGTTAGCTCACAATCATGAATAATGAAATACCCATAAAATGTGTGAAAAACATCCTACTTCTGTTGTGTAGTTCGTCGAACTGGCGCTCCACCCGAGAGAAAAAGACAGCTGAATTTCGGAACGTGGTCTCTGGTGTTAAAGTACTCACAGCAGTATATAGTTATTTAAACGATTATCGTAAAGTTTGAGATAAATAGTAAACTCAAGTATTCTTGCTATTTCGCTTTTCTGGTTTCAAGTTGTTTTTTCTCTGCAATTCAAGGCATTTCAGCAAGATTTTTCTTTGTAATTGGTAAATACATTTATTGATAAGAACTACTTAAATGGTATATTACACCTACGTAACTATACATTTAGAAATGTTTGAATGTCTTTTAAAGGAATCTCTTTTGAGGTATGCGTATAACGCTTCATGGCCATGAAGTTCGGATGTGTTGCTGAAACTAGGGTGCGCAATATTATCAAAGGGAATATGGCTTGTAATGATTCTCAACGTATTGTTGGAAAAATAGTCTCGAAACTCTTACATTATTCTGAAGTGCAATTAAACGATGCGAACGCCAATAGCAGCCAGCGCGTCTGCGTCAGGAAGCAGAAGGTCGCAGGCAAAGGTAACTGTATAGAGTTCGTAGGCACTGCGTCCAGAAAAACTGCTGCGATATTTAAGGATTGTTAAATTGCTCTGAGGTGTTGTCACTGAATACCTAACCTAGGAGCCTATAGAGAAGTAGTGGTAATTTATGGCCGCAGAAGCGATATTAATTTCAATTTCCTCAACTAAAGTTAAAAGGATCCATTAAAATAAAATGCACAATCATATTTCAAAAGTTTCAGTTGAGTAAAATTAAACATCTTTAATCAAAAAGACTTGAGTTATGTAAGCGCATGGGGTGCAATAAATGTATTAACTTCCTGCGTTCAGGTTAGATTAAACAGATTCCTCTCTGTCGAGCCGTAAAAGAGGTTTGTTAATTTACTTACTGTATTGCTATACATAAGAAACGACCGAATGGTTTAATAAAACATAATACAAATAACAAGCAAGGAATTAATGATTAAAACATTCCAGCCTAAAGTCAGCATTTAAAAAGAAAAAAACAAAATAAATACGTGAAGTACGACCAGATGTTGCTGGTGGTTTCAGTTTTAGTTCTGGACAATATGTATTATTGTTAAAAGTCCAAGAAGTGAATCATTGCAGCAAGTTAGCTTGTGGACAAAAACTGAATAATGCGGGGGAGTTCAAAATGTTAAAACTAGTACTACAATAGAAAATTGTGCATATTGTTACAGTTACTAAAATTAATATTTTCTGGCCGTGTAAGGTACTATGATTTTTAGTAATATGCCTCTTTTTTTTTAAATATTCAGAGAACATTACAACAGAAAATACTACGATCTAGAGAAACTAAGTGTATTCAGAGCATCACAAAAGCAAATGGTGTAATAGTATTCGCTCTCTTGACACTGCTCATTAGACAGCGTGAACTATTTATATTAGAGTGCGATTATCCCTGTGTCAATCCACGTCATAATATCTGTAGTGATAAGGAAAAAGGGAATAACTGCAATTTTTGTCAAAATCGAGATAATACTATTTGTATCTTTGATACTTATACTTTCACCAGACAGATAAATAGTAATCTGTAATATTTGAATATCGAGCAATTTAAATTATCAATAAATAATTGGTTAAATAAGGAAAAACGAATAACTGGCATTTAAAATAAATCTAAAAGTAATGAACATAATTCTTTTAATTTATTATAATTCTAAATATTATAACCTTTAATCCATTTTTTAGTTTAATTTTAACCGAAATTAGAATAAATTAAATCATTTTTATAATAAATAACAAATATTAACCAAATTTTAAATTAATACAATTGAATCATTAATATTTACTTAAATGCATCTAGTTGTAATCTTTTGCTTCGTTTTTCTTGACCAATCTTTCAGATGCTGCGCACATTTTTGTGCTGTCAATGTCAGCTTGTTCAACAGCTTCGCTTGATGTTCGAAGTTTCGAGTGCTCTGCCTGTTTTAGAATGTTTACGCTTTCTTCCGAAATGTGATGCAGTTACATTCTATAAGCAGCACCCTCCTATCACTTATATCTACGATGTCTAGATCCAACACACACTCCCATTCTTCAACCATTCAGTAACACTACGCGCATCGCTCCGTCGACTCGGACAATAAAATTGTATAAAAGTCGCCAACGATGGTCGTAAAATGAATAAAATACCTCATCAGATCTTTTTTTTTCTTTCGAAATTTCATTGGCCGTGTTGTAGGCGTTTAAAGTAATCTTCCGTAATTCTATGGTACACGCTCGTCTTCTCAGTTTAATTCAGAACAAAATACTCATCCTCTGCAAACTTTTTTTTAAAATAACACAATGCCTACGAATCTTGCTATTGCGCAAACCCATGTTTAACGCTTTGCATGAGAACCTCTGCCGTCGGTTCTTCATCTTTTCGGCCATTACAGTGGACATTTGGAGCAAGGCCCCGGAATATCATTAAATTGAGTTCTGTCATTACAATGAAAATTTTGAAAGATTTCTGTCGACTTCGTTTACAAGTTCGTACCGAATCATGGGGGATGATTACATTTACTTCGAATGTTTTTTCGCCGCTTTCCAATTACAGAATGATCTACATCCCACTCCATATGAGTGTTCCCGAACCAAGAATTTAATCCAACAGTTTGCAGTGTGGATGGTTGCAACGATTGCGGAAACAACGATTGCAATACTGTTTTATTTTTGTTCTGCGCCTCCGCATGAGGTCAGACCATAGAATAGAGTTTTCACAAAAGGATCCAATCCTTGTAAAAACGTGTACAAGGCAGAGAGAGACTTCATTAGCTCCTCTTTTGCAACACCTTCATGTTATAGTAATTTCTTTCGCCCCAGAAATTATTAATGTTAAGTTGAAGTCCATAATCCGTTTATAAAAATAAAACTGAAGTTTAAGAAAAGTGTTGACAAAGCATTGTCTTGCAATCGAAAGAGCAAAACTATTGTTATACGTCGGAATTGCTTCGCTGTGTGTTGTTTCTTCGATTTGTTGTTTGTAAGCTAGATTCTGCTCTTCATGATGAACTTTCGGCATTCCTCTAGGTTCTTTCCTTTTTTCTTGTCTTCTTCAAAGATTCAATTTTGCATCAGAGACATCGCATATTTTGAAATGTGTCAATTTGTGGGGACCTTCAAACTTCAATCCTGTTCGATAAATACTCTTTTGTATATTTGGAAGTCCACTGGATCTGTAACGTCTTCAAATATAACTTATACATTTTTGGAAATATTCAGAGCGATGGCAAGAATTTTCTCGATGTATGTGACGTGAATAGTGCTCTCATATGCTGGAAAAACCTTCCAAAATTGATTTCGTATTGCCCTAGTCTTGTTTCACTTGTTTTATTCGTGTTTTTTGCCTTCAATCAAATTATAAATTGTGTGATCAGATCATAAATTAGTCAATAGTACATAAGGAACTGTCGTCTCACCAAACGTCCATATGAAACTTCTACAAATTACTCCCTTCTGATGTTAATTACAAAAGTAAAGGCTGTGAATTTTCGAATTTTCTTATTGTTTCCAGACAGCGTTTTTAACCTGTGTTATACGCATTTCATAAAACCTTTGCGAAGTAAATAAAGTTCCCTGTTTTCCAATAAGCGTGGAAGTTACTCAGTTGATCTTTCTTTTAACTTTTTTGATTGCACTTGAACTTGCAATCTGTAATCTAATAGAATACGTTTTTAATATTTTTTTCGTTTTTTGTTACATACATTTACCCTATTCTCGTCGACATCTGCCGTGTTCTTCCGAAGTATTTAAATTTCGATTTTGGAAGTGTTTCTGAAGAGCAACCTAAAAAATAACACAAAATATTGAACAAATATTTCAAATAAGTAAAATTATAAAAATAGAATTTGAAATATAATATATAATTACTTGACATATTCATTATGCTCAGTTACTCATGATTTTCTTCTGACAAGTTTTGCGAGTGTGTTAAGATGATATTATTTCATCTGAAGTTACTTTCTCATGGCCTTACTGCGAAAGATTGGACATCTCGGGGATGTAACAATTGTTTTCGTTTGAATTTTTCATATGGCTATCGAAAACAAATTCTGCTGCTCTTGTGACGAAATTAAATCACAATCAGAAATCTCAACATATTTCATTTCGAGTTGTTTTTTCATAGCAATCAGAATCAGCTTGTTCATCTAAATTAGTCATTTAATAAGTTCATAATTTAATATTGGAAAATGTGTAACATAAATTAGTCAAGGTTGCATATAAATTGACACATAATTTTGTATTTACCTGGATTGTTGAGCAATTGTGGCACATTATTATTAGGATCATTGATAGACAAGTTAGGTATATTAGAAGATAAATCATGAGCGACAGTTTCAATAGTTTGATGTCGCACGTTGAGAAAATCGTTTGCTTTGGAACCTGAAAATTGTTGAAAAATAAATACTCATAAAATAAATAGAAAATTTAAAAATAAAATTAATGAAACAATTGAAGTTAATGAATACCTGAGGAAAATAATGCATATTTATATTATTTGTTAAAAATTATATTTACTAAATTTATACTTTCATTGTCGCAAAGTAATTTTTGTATTGGATGATCCTAGTGATGAATTCTTTGAATCGAAATAATTATATTGCTGTATAAGATCCATCGATTTTTTTATAAAATCTATTTTGTAATCTACGTTAATTTGAATTAATTTTTCGCATTTATTTTTTTTTACATTTTACTCGCACATTGTTACATCACTCAGTATAAGTTTTCAAATGATATCATTGTTGACATGCTCCAAAAAGCAAAACAGTTACTCTTTTGTATTTGCCTATATCTATATATCACACATCAACACAACTTCATTGTTGCCATACTCAAAATTAAAAAGTTTACCATCACTCACTCGACTGGATAATTTTAATTATGCACTCTTATTTTTTCTAATAGATGGCGCTACCATGAATGTCAAAATTAATCTGTCAAAAATTACTCACCTTTGCTCCATTAAATCTCGAAATAAACTGTTCCGATTTGAAAAATAAAGCGGAGTAGTCTTTATTTTTCAAATTGGAGCAGTATTTTTCGTACTTTAATGGAGCAAACATTCTGACAGGATGGGCGCTCCACGGCCCTTAACGAAACGTAATATGTTAATTATATTAATATATTAATTTATTCTTTATTATTAATTCATTTAATTAAATATTATTATTAATTTTCATAATACATTATTATTAAATTAAGAATTGTGTATAAATAATTTATTTCAAAAAAGGAAAAAGTTTTAAAATCATTTTAACTGAAAAGGTTAACTAAAATTTAATTAAATAATTCTTATTTCGTAAGTCATATACTACAAAAATAGTATGCTTTTATTAAAGAATATATAGTATATTTATGTATTCACTCCATAAAATTAAAATAAAGATAAAAATAAAGGAAGAGAATGATAAATAAACATTTATGGAAAAAGGAATAACTGCAAATATTTAGGAAAAGGGAATAAGTGAAAAATTAACATTTAATTACATTTATTATTATTATTATTATTATTATTATAAAATGTTTATTTGAATTCCTGAAACTGTTTTGTTTATACGTTAAGTGTTGAGAAAACCCTACGGTAAACTTACTTAAATCTGCAAAAATAGAATTTATGACTTTAAATGCATTTTTCTCGAAATTATGAAAATTGCAGTTATTCCCATTTTCCTTATCGCCATAGATATATCAAGAACGTCTGAAAAAAAAGTTATTAAAACGTACTCTCAACGTTGATATAAAATAACACATTGGTAAACGGCATTCAAAATTCTCATATCAAAAATCCAAAATCTTTGTGCCATTATATGTCTGTGACCAGTCATGTTAATTAGTGAACAGCGACGTAGTATGAAATAAATGTAGAAACCTCAAACGTCATGTACAAAGTGTCTTGCTTAATATGTAATTCTTCGACTAAAGAAAATGGTAATATTGAAGACAAATTTCTTAAGAGGTCGGGTCATTTTTAAAAAAATAAATTTTTAAAATTTGAAGTTACGCATGTAACAAATATTTCCTTTAAATCTTAAGTGTTAATTTTTAATTAATATTTGGTAAACGGTTGATAAATAAAAATCCTAAACAATGTTTTATAGATCTTTTCGATATACGTTTAATTCTAGAAGTAGTTTAAGCTGAGAAAGTTTTTGAAATATCTTTGTTAATATTGAATAGAGGAATATATTGCAGCATTGTTGTTTGGAATGTGTGTACAGCCCGCGCGACTTTGTGCCGCCAGGTGTGACATGTGTGACCAGCCGCCGCCGCCGCCGCCGTCTCGAGCGCGGTCCCGCGGGCGGGCGCGCGGGGGCCAGGAGGGGCCCCGGGAGGGGGCTCGCGGGCGGCGGGCGCCGGGGGGCCGTCGCAGTGGCAGCGCGGCGCCCGCGCGCGGGACCGCCGCCGCCGGGCGCCTTCAGCAGCCACGGCTGCCGGGCGCAAGCGCGGTCGGGCCGCCCCGCGAGCTGGACGCGGAGGCGCTGGGCCGCCGCCTGCAGGGCGTGACGTTGGCGGAGCCGCCGCCGGGCGCAAGCGGGGTGGGGCGCGCTAACCTGCGCGGCCGCCGCGTCGCCCAGGAGCCCTTCCTCCGCACGCGGCCCGCCCACGTGACCACCAAGCAGGGCGCGAGCGGCGCACGCATCAAGCTCTCCGCAAACTACTTCCGGCTCGAGACGCACACGGACTGGCGGCTCTACCAGTACCGGGTCGATTTCGACCCCGAGACGGATCAAACCGTCGTGAAGAAGGGCTTGTTGCGCGTGCATCGCGAGAGTCTTGGCGGGTACATCTTTGACGGGACCGTTCTGTTCACGAGTCACCTTCTCTCGCAGGATAGAGCGCAGGTGATTGAATTGTTCTCGAAGAGGGCTGATGATGTTAATATTAGGATAACTATTCGCCTTGTCGGTGATTTGGCATTAGGAGATTATCATTACTTACAGTTCTTTAATATTTTGATGCGAAAGTGCCTGCAGCATTTGAAGTTGCAATTAGTTGGTCGCAATTATTTTGACCCCATGGCGAGAATTAACGTAAAAGAGTACAGAATGGAGTTGTGGCCGGGATACGTTACATCGATACGGCAACATGAATCCAGTATCTTAATGTGCGCTGAAATTACGCACAAGATAATGCGAAATGACACGGTTCTCAATATTCTTACTGATGCTATTAACGCGCACGGAGCGCAGGGCTACAGGCGCTCGTTCCAACAGAATATAATAGGCGCTGTAGTTCTAACAGATTATAACAACAGAACGTACAGAGTAGATGATGTCGATTTTGATACGTCTCCCATTTCGACGTTCAAACTGAGGTCAGGAGCAGAAATAAGTTACAAAGACTATTATAAACAAAAATACCAAATAAGGATAACTCAGGATAATCAACCACTTCTGGTTTCTCGTACCAAAGCCAGGGAACAACGAGCAGGGCAGTCGCCCCTGGTGTATCTTGTTCCGGAACTGTGTCGAATGACAGGTCTCACTGACGAAATGAGGAATAACTTCCAACTGATGAGGGCCCTTGCTGAGCACACACGTGTTGGGCCCAGAAGTCGCGTGGACAAATTGCTGAAATTTGGTCAGAGATTAACACAAGAGAAGGCTATATCTGAAGACTTCCGAGAGTGGAACATGCGATTCGGTCAGAGACTGCTTGAATTCGATGCTCGAGTTATGCAGAACGAGCCGATCATTCAAAGCAGCAATGATAAGTACAACCCGAGCGCACTAGTGGACTGGACAAGAGATCTAAGAAGTAGGCCCATGTTAGTTATGCCCGAATTCAATGTATGGGCAGTAATCGTTCCAGGAAAAATGAAAAGCTCTGCAATGTCCTTCATATCCACTCTCCAGAAAGCGGGTGGAGGAATGAGGTTTAGGATTCCAGGACCTCAATGCTTCGACATAATGGATGATAGAGCTTCCACGTATGTGGAAGCAATTGAAAGGGCAATAAATACTACTAATCCACAGTTGATTATGATTATTGTTCCAAACAACAGAGCCGACCGGTACAGCAGCATCAAAAAGAAATGTTGTGTAGATCGTGCTGTATCGTCGCAAGTCGTTCTTGGTAAAAATTTAAATGCAAAAGGAGTTATGTCAATCGCTACAAAAGTCTCCATTCAAATCTGCTGTAAAATCGGAGGAGCTCCGTGGACCGTGGACATGCCACTGTCAGGTTTAATGGTAGCAGGATTTGACGTCTGTCACGACACAACTACCAGGGGAAGGAGCTTCGGCGCAATGGTGGCCTCTCTCGACAAATCTATGACACGTTACTACAGCGCCGCCTCGGCTCACACCACGGGAGAGGAACTGTCAAACGACCTCTCCTTGAACATGACAAAGGCTGCTAGAAGGTACATGGATTACAACAACGGAGCCCTGCCAGCTCGCATCATAATCTATCGGGATGGAGTAGGGGAAGGGCAGATTCCGTACGTATTCGAACACGAAGTAAATCTCGTGAGAGAAACCCTAGGGAAATTGTACGCTTCTGCAGGAGTTACTTTGAAGTTGGCATATATTATAGTCAACAAGAGGATAAACACCAGAGTTTTCTTGAATAATGACAACCCACCGCCTGGAACAGTGGTGGATGATTGCATAACTCTCCCGGAGCGATACGATTTTTTTTTAGTATCGCAGACAGTTCGGCAGGGCACTGTCAGTCCAACATATTATAATGTAATCAGTGATAATGTTGGTCTGGATCCCGACAAAATGCAAAGGTTGTCTTACAAGCTCACTCATATGTATTACAATTGGAGCGGAACGGTTCGTGTTCCAGCACCGTGTCAGTATGCTCACAAGTTGGCATACTTGGTTGGACAAGCACTGCACCGCAGCCCCAATAATAGGCTTGAAGATTACCTTTATTACTTATAAAATGGTAAACTTTATTTACATTGTTTGAAACCTTTATTTTTGTGTACACATTACAATTAAGTAACAACGATTTTTGAAAAGTGAAATTGTTTAAGCATATCAGAATATTTAATTTTCTTTAAAAGTATTTATATTTCTTTGAAAATTTCAAGAGATGATTTATATATTTTCTCTCCTTATATTATATTATATTATATTATATTAAAGACTGAATATAGTTGTCAAAGTTAAAAAATATGTTTGCTCAGACGATTTTTTATTTCTATGTAATACTTGTCAAAAGAAAAAATGTATTAGGTGTAAAATGTACTAATGTATAAAATGTAATTTCATAATCGAGATGATAAAATGTACTTGTATTAATTTGTAATACTTAATTTCTTTGGCATTCTGCAAGAGTTGTGAAAAAACTAATATAATCCATTTCCATTAAAAAATTTATGGAACTTCATGGAAACAAAACTAAAGAAAAATATTATATAGTAAAGGATTATAAATTATTTTCAAAATAAAATATTGAATTTCCTATATTAAGGAAAACTGAACGCATTGTTATTTCATTTGGAAGTCTTCTGCTCTGAATGCAGTTCATTTGTAAGTCTAGTTATTTATTTTTATTAAAGGCGATATGGTAAGAAATAAAACTAAGTGATAGTGTCATACATCGCATCTTCAAAAATCAGCTCACAGCCCTTGTCACCCCATGTTTTTCTAAAATTCTTAATAAATTTTAATCTTGATTGTAATAAACTTCCAGTTTCGAATATTTCAAATCTTAAATTTATGTAAGAACTTACGTTAAAAAAACCTACCAGAAGGTAAACTTAATTAGCTCTAAATATTTGTTTCATTTAGCCGCGTTCTTACATTCCAATCTAATTCATGGCAGCAAAGAGCTCTGTCCTTAGAAGACTAAATTCGTAAATACTTCCATGCAGTTTGGCCAACAGTTTTTTTTCGTCACGTGCGTTTGTCTAAGGTATTTCGTGGAATTTCGATTTTGAATGTTGATTAAGGCAATTCCTCATTAATAGTTATTGAGATTTTAAAAAATTTTTGAAAATTTGTCTTAAATATTTTCTAACGCATTTGCTTTGAAAAAATAATGTATTGATTTAGAAAAATAGGTTCCGAAGGGCTTTTCGCGAGAGTTAATTCTTCCAGAACATGGCTGTAATTGATAACAAAAAGATGCACACCAAATCGTGTCTACCCACATCCGTTCCCTTTGGGCAAAGTACGTGTGTATTCAATCTTTTGCTTACATTAAACAGCTATCAGCAGTGACCTGTATAAAAAGTACTATTTTTTCAAAACTCAAGACCACAAAAATTTGGGTTACAATGTTGTTAGAGAACATTTGAAAACTTAGAATGGGCAAAATATTTTCAAAAGTCTTATTTTCATATAGTACTTTCAGTTCATTATTCAATGTTATGTCAAACGCCATTTCAATGTAAAAGAAAATTTTAATTTATATCCGTGCGGGGTTAAATATTTAAAAACGTTTAATAACTGTAACGACCCATTTTTTGGTTAGTTCATTTAACAAACATAATTAAATTTTCACTTTTTTGCATTCTTCACACTAACTCAACGTTTCCACAATTTTCGTACTATTTCATCTCTAGGCTATCGAATAAATTACATACAATAATTACTAATTAATGGTCTTTTTTGTGTAGATGTGTTAAATAACTTATGTATCCAAAGAAAAGAAATTTTTATACACGTTTACCACAGTTGCGGCAGTTGAATCAAACCCATTTAAACAATCAGTTAATTTAGTTATATTAATATTCAAAAAGGTCAGTAAGTAATTCATGTGCAAGTATTAAGAAATGCAATTTGTTTTGTAGTTTATTATTGTTTCCATGTCCTGTAAATGACAATGTATGAAAGTTATAAGCCAAAGGTCAATATTAAATTATAAAATATTCAAAATTAATGGGAAAAGCGTTTATATAAAAACAAGGCACCTCAAAGAATCGAAATGTGAATAATTGTTGTCCAAAGTTGTGGCAGTTGAGTTTAACCCACTTAAAAAATAATGTTTATTTAGGTATATTAATATTCAAAATGGTCAGTAAATAATTCGTTTTAATAATGAAGCAATGTAATTACTTTTGGTTTTTAGTAATTGTACGTAATTTATTCCACAGCCTGACGATGTGTGTGTGTGAAAGTTGTCAAAAATGTTCCGTTGTGAAGAAGGCGATAAAACAAAATGTGAAAATTACATTGTGTCTTGTAAACAAGACAACCAAAAAAGGGGTAATTAGAGTTATTAAAAAAATATTAAAATAGATTTGGCCAAAAACTGTAAATGTTTAAAATTTAGAAATGCAATAAGAGACAATGGTAGGCTGTATTTCAGCCATCAGTTACCGCAAATGAACGCTATAAAAAGCGCATCAACATTTGCATTGTCAACTAGTTGTATAGATACATAATGTTATTGGGTTATTTTATTAGTAATATTATACTCTTACAATCAAATGGCTTGCCGATGCAAATGCAACTTCTATCTAGCGCATTGTCACGGCTAGGGAGTTGTTTCGCTGGGGGAGATATCTGGATGTGGTGGCCACATGTAGTTCGGTTCTCACTATCAAGCGGAGAGGAACATTTACAGTAATTAAAACTCAAAAAAGCACATTCCACGTATTAAAACGCATTCACTACACTAATGGGACTAAGGACCATAGCAGTTGTTATGCCGCAAAACATTAATCAATTCTATTACGTATTTAAGATCTGGGCGCCTGAACTGCTAAGGTCATTAGTTCCGGACGGGTATTTTGCATGCTTGTGAATGGTGAGATTCTGCACCGACCTGCCTGTCGGGTAGCAGGGTTTTCCCAACGAGGTATCTACCCCAATGGGGCACCGCCCCAGTCGGAACAATCTCTAAGCTCTAGACTGATCTACCGACATGGGTCGTAGTGTAGTGCATGTGTGTGTGTGTGTGTGTGTGTGGATAGGAGTGAGGATATGACAAGGAAAAGGGAGGAAATATAGCGCGAACGGTTCGTAGCCTATTTGTTAGGTTACTGCTCCGGCATTCGCCTGGTGTTGATAGAAGAAACCACGGAAAACTACCGATCATAGCAGCTTGCATTCTCCTTCAGACAGTGACTAAACTCGACATAGCTCTGTAGCTAGTGTCGAAAATTCTGCCACAGTCGGGAGTCGAACTTAGGACCTTTCGGTCAGACATGTCAGAGAGATTGCAGTGACATCAATTGATGCCCTGAGCCATATCTATAGGGCAGGTATCTATTACGAAGCACCTAAGCAAAGATGCAAATACGTTTTGTAATACTCGGGAGCGAAAATATATATTTTTGAACAGTTGCCAACAAGTATCGTCGTTCATAACTTGTAACTTGTTCATATATTGTAAATTATGGGGAGGGTTTTTCTGAGGCTCAATAAAAAGTGCACAGATTACATTTCTGTTCAATAAGTCATAACATTTTTATTGTTTTATGCCTCCCAATAAATTAAAATTAATTTTAATTAATTACAAGTTTGCAGAAATACAATATTGATATTCCTCAAAGTTATAAGTGATTTATGAAATAATTGAAATCTAGATTTTGAATCAATGAAAATTAAAAGTAAAACTTTTCAAGGAAATTAAATTTATAATGTAAATTTTAGTGTGTTGTGGTCTTTAGTTGTTAAAACATAAAGAAAAATATAGAGACGTTTTTAAGAAAATACTGTTTATTTGTAGAGAATCGTCTCTTGTTCCCTAAAAAAACATGCTAAAACAATTGACATTTTAAATAACTGTATAAATGAAAATAATTAAATATCTATGTGGAGGAATATTGCTTTATGAAAGAAATCTAACTTCCATACTGCAATGAGTCATACAGACTCACTGCACGGCACGGCCCTCGCGTCACGCTGAATCAGCATATTTCTAGGCAAAGAGCACATCTCTGGACATTCGCCACGCGCAGCTGTCCGTCCCCGAAAGGCACCATTCTACCCCTTTGTGTTGCAGTAGATGACTGACAACCAAAACTGTTACATTAGGTTACATTACTGTTACAAGAGGCGAGGGCAGCCCACCATAAATGTCTAAGCGACTATAAATCACATGTCTCCATAGGAGACTAGCCCATGGAAAGCTTCGCGACGTGATAGGTCGGGCACTTTTCGAGAGGGGTGGGGACGGAAAATCGCAGGAGCACAAGGCGCCAGAAGGACGGACACTTAGAAAAACACTGTTGAGGCGAGCGGTTGGCTCAGGGAGCTCCCTTCGTGATTCAACGGCGATTACAGCTATACGGAAACTGTCGATAGTCTTCAGCCATTATCTTCGCGCATCGGATGCATTCCGGATGCCGGGCTAGAACGGTTAGCGTAACATCCACAAAGTACACGAGAGGGTGTGCAGCCTAAATATTCGGGAGCCAAACATAGTACGCGGTCCAGGCGACGTATGATGACTTGTGACTCGCGCAGCGAAAGTTGATGTTCCAATCCCGCGGACGGCCGTGGATAGTCTGCTGCCCAGCCAGGCGACGTGCTCCTGCCGAGTACAGATGTCCATGGTTCTCCAACGGGTCATCTGCTGCCACCGGCCTACATCTGACGTGTAATCCTTCGGAGTGAAGTATCAGAAATTCATTCATCCATTCCCGTAAGTGTTCACGTTCATTTAGGTAACAGCCAGAGTAAAGCCCTAAAGGATATATTATGTAAAAGAGGACTTACGATAGCAATAAACGTGTCCCCACCATTTTGGTCGGGTGGCCACACAAGAAAATGTGAATTATTTAATAGCTAGTAAGCAAATGCAATCCATTCGACCCAGGGCGCTCATCCCTGCAGATGTCTCATGGTCGACACCCAGATCACAGGTAGGCATACGCTTGGCGCCCTCCTTAACACATTTAGCGCGTGCTCCTGGTGCCTGGAAACGACCGTCGCACCTTCAGTGTGACGGCAGCCCCTCCCCTATGATAGTGTGACTCACAGCG